CAAAAAATGAATAGTAAAATTACCCATATTAAGTTATATCGAATACTTTTTTGTCTTACTACACTTCCAATTTTGAAATACAGGAGTTGGGTATAATTTATACAGAATTGAACAAAAAAGCCCATTTAAACAGAAAAAAGAGCAGTAAAATAAAGAATGTTACAATTAGAAAAAACACGAGGTTGTGAGCCGCTCGTTGATGACTTTGTCGAGGTGCTTCTGCATGTTGTCGATTTCGTTGTCATCCTGTCCGCCCTCGTATCGTTTGCACACTACGAGTTTGTCTTGTGTCATCGTCCATACGAGTTCGCAGTCGTCGAAGATGACGACGTTCTTGATGTCTCTTCCAAGCTTTGTAGCGTCCTTATAGACACGCCCGAACTTATTCTTGCAACTCTGTTGATACAGTTTGTGTTCGAAGATCTTTCCATCCTTCTCCATGTAGTCGATTATCTGGTCTGCATAGACCTGTTTCGAAGCGGTGAACAATACAACCTCGCACGTTTTACTGAGTTGTCGTAAGAATTGTATTGCGCCAGGACGGATGCTTGTTGTATATTCCTTGTTTTGTACAACGACTTTACAAGTTTCCCGAGAGTGTTTTGAGTCTTCTGGCAATAAAGAATGCGTGTGAATGAGTGTCTCGTCTAAGTCGAAGATCACAGTCAACCGTTCGTCGTCCTTAGGCGGCAAGAGCGTCTCGGTCAGTTTGGGGGTGTAATCGATTTTGAAGACAAAGGCATCGCTTCCCCCACCAAGGTGATTGACTGTTGGACTGCGAGTCAATTTCCGGACCACGGCGCTCATTGTAAATTTTGAGTTCTTATTGGTTTTCAATATCTGTTTTATTCGTAAATTATATCTATTATTTCCAATATTGGGGTGGCAAATAGTCCATAGTTTTCAACAAAAAATTATTATTGATTTTTAATTGGTTGAATTATAGTTGATTTTACCAATTAAAAGAGTCAATGAATAGTAATGATTTCCGTCTGTATCAAATAACGAATGGCTTCCGTTTTTGTGCGTTTTTTTGGGAGAACAAAGTGAAATGCTCGGTGACCAAAAATCAAAAAAAGTCAATCAAAAAATAAAAATTTACATTTTTTAGTGTTGCGTCGTTTTCCCGTTTATTATCAATTCAAATATTTAAATCAAGATAAAAATTGAAAACCCTCATAATATGTATAATAAAATCATATTATTTCAAGATCACACACAAATATAGTAAAAAATAAGCGAA